GCTGCAGTTACGTTATGCATCCACTAGATGGAGCTGCACTAAAGTGAATGTCAACAAAACAGTCCGGGGCGTGGCCGGACGATGGTCACCCTTCTCCGTTCGCGCACAGTATGTTCGTGGAGAACGTGGTGCTAAATGACCTGCAGACGACCTGATTCTAGATGGTCGGTAGGGAGATAGGCCAGTCAAACTTTATTAACAAACCAGCGTTCTGACAACTATCCCAGCATGCACCGCACGCTTCTTCTTCTACGGGTGAAAATGAAGTCGGCGGCTGCTTACAGTAGTTGCTAGACCTGTTGTGGCTCAATATTGGTCCATATATAAGGCGCACCAGATTATAAGGCGCATTGTCGGCTTTTGAGGAAATTGAAGGTTTTTAGGTGCGCCTTATAGTGCGGAAAATACGGTACTTGCATACTGGATGTGGACTGTTGGATGTTAAATTCATGAGCAGTAAATATTGTGCTAATTATTAGTATTGAACCAAAGAAAGCAAGGCATTTGCAAGCCTTTAAAATTATGACGCTTTTTATGGGTCAAATAGACTCAAAAAATTGTAACAGCAGCTGCGCGGGGGGGCCCAAACAAATTTTTTGTCAGGGGGCCCACGATTTTTGGCGGCGCCCCTGATGTGAGGTATAATATTGGATACTCAAAATAATACATAAGGGTGGAAGACAATCTATCTGGCAGCTAGGAAACGTAGAAAGTAGTAAACATCTTTAGCATTTTCATACAGCTCTTTCACACAGTGAGCTCACTGAAAACAAGGTAACAGGCTATGTAGTGTTTTGTGACTTGAAGCAATTTGACTTAAAACCGTTCCAGAAAGGCTACCTTACAGTTTAAGTATCATGGTGTAGGATTGATGTGAATCTGTCAGGACACAAAGTCAGTAATAAAAGAAGTCCTCAGAAATGTCTCCATGCATCCTCTGTGGTTACCTGGCTGTGAGGTTGATCTGGGGACGGCTGCTTTGCCACCAGAACCACCAGCGATGCTGCTGGTCATGCTCTGCCGCTTCCTGCCTGCAGCCATTGCACCACATAGCGTATCTACAGGGAAGCCAAATCCTTTACACCAACCTTAGCAAATAAAAACTCCTTTCATAACAAGGTTGGAGCAGTTGAAAAATGATCAGTCCAATCACAAAAAGCAGTACTGCACATGCAGGACTCAAAATACCTACAAACTGAATAAAACAAAAATAATCACATGCAGCGACAAACGTCTCATCTTGTTTGCTCTTAATTTGATGCTCGTGCACTATAAAATTCCCAATTCAGGCAAAAAAATACAGACTTAAACAACCATCCACAAAATAAAATGCCACCACCAATCACAACATTTATCAAGCCTCAGCAAAATGTTATGTTTCTACATATACCTTCATAGCCAAAGGGAGTGGGATCACTCTTTATCTCGTGTCTCTTGCTCTTAATGCTAGCAGAGAGGGGACCTGGGAAACAAGATGCAACAGATACTTCTTCAGTAATTAGCCTATTACAAAGGAGAATGTATAAAGTAGCCCAGAAATATCCATTAAGCACCTCTCACATATTACACATTTAATATCTGCCAGTTAACAGAGGAAGCTTTCATTCATTTCCACATTTAATAATGAGCATTACTAAAAAAAAAATTGTCCAACTATAAAGAAGGATAAAGAAATCTTTAAAAAAAATCATGCTTAGTCACTTGTCAGAAAAAGAAGGTCCTCAACCATGATTCATGCACTGAAAGGCCTTCATCAGATGGAAAACTACAAACATTTTAGAGTTAGGTGGCATTGGGGAAGTATTTCATTCCTATCTAGTTCATGTCTCATCAGTGTGAGTATTTACTGGCTCTGGAGCGATGTGCAACACTCTGCTACAACCCTCGTCTGTCAGGAGCAGGGAGAGCAGGTTAGCTATAACTAGCTAACCTAACATTTCACGGGGAGGCTATAAAGCTGAACAGAAACAGAAGACTAATCAATGTTGTCTGAGTAGCAGGTTTGCTGTAGTGGCAGCTGCCTAACATTAACAGGACTGTTTTTGCTTAAGGGTCTCAGTGTAAATAGGTTTGTTTACTTAGTAACTGCTTGAACGAGCACTCTTTAATGCTTCCAGAATGGAAAAAAATGAGTGAAAACATTTGACTGCAATGATTAAAAAAACTCAACTACAAAACATCTGTACATGATGCACCCAAAAGGCAGAGTAAAGTTCTATTACAATAATAAAGTTATAATACTACCAGATAAAAGTGGTAATAATACAAGAATATAATGTTTTAGGACAAAGGGTGAAATTTAGCTACTGCGCAAATTCCTGCATACATGCTTTGCCATAAATGGCAGAAATCAATGTCCACTGTTCCTAATCAAATAAAGATAAAAATAAAAATAAAAAAGCAACAGACATTGTAATCTTTTTGACATGTCAGTATAATTTTCTAGAAAACTTCTCCATCAGGTACTTCTCCAAAAGGTAGTGACTACTTAGTCACTATCTTTTTCAGCATGTCTTTGTTTGAGAATGCATCACCAGGTAACTATCTCCTTAATTAAAACAGCAAAGTTTTGTTTTTTAAATCTTAACTCAAAACACATAAACTCATCAAACTCTCTACCTTTGGTGCGTCGCATGGCAGAGGAAGAGGAGGCAAGAGAGGAAGTGAGAGAGAAGCGTCGAGTGGCCTCTGCCTCTTTTACTGTAGGTTCTATGACGGAATAAGAGGAAAGGAAATGAGAACGGACAGGGAAAGGTAAGGGAAGGCAGCTAATGAGATCCATGTTGTTGTAAATTGAGCAACAGAAAGAGCAAAAGAAACAACAGATGAAGTTGGAATGAAAAGACATTGTGTGAGAGAACACAAGCAATTTGGGGGTTATTATTTAATATGCACTAAAACATCTTACATATGTCTTCATGGATAGAGTTGTAAAAGCTTAAAATGCAACAAATGAGACTAAAACAAATTGATGTATTGAAGAATGACAAGAAAACATGAAAAAATGTCAAGTTATACATGTGGCATAAAAAATTACAGTTGAACAGTAAAGGAAAAGGACTTCCAGCTGAGATGATGCAAATGAACTGCTTGCTCTGAGGAGTTTCTCACATTTTACGTCCATGACAAGTTGAAGGAGACATCACAACACAATAAGCACGGTAAAGTTGGGACTAAATATAATACTTCACAAGCTGCTGATGTGGGACTTGCCAGAATCAGTGTCAACTTGTGATGCAACACGAGTAGTTTTTAGCTATCTTAAAGGGAGTTTTCAATCAGATGACAAGGCTGTCACCTTGGGACTTCACTCAGACAGGTTTGAACTTCCCCTCCTTCAAACAAGCAGGTGGCCCTCACTGTTGGTAGTGATTAGGAGGGAAAGCAAAACACTCAATTCGCTGTGTGACTGTCATCCTTTCTGCAAGCAATAGAATGTGTCAGACGGGGTTGGATGTTGATCTCAACCCCCGCCACACCTTTATCTTTTCCCCGTCATTAGTGTAATTAGGAACACATGCCTTGAAATGACCTGACACCAAGGCGGCATGAGTTCTCAGAACATCCACTTCCAGTCCCTCTTCACATGTGGTGCGCACACACCATGCTTGTCAGAGCTCAAATGTTGCTCTGAATGTTGTTCGTCCAGAGGGCCAAACAGGTTGGGACCGTCCCTGAATGCACTTCAACATGTCAGGACAGCTGGAGTAAAAGAGGGTGACATTTAGTGCAAAGCAGATCTCAGATCAGATCTCTATATTTTGTTACCAGCCGTCTGACAGACCCCAACCATATCCATACATGAAATCTTTTTAAAATGACTATATCAGAGTTGGGGAGGGGAAGGTTTAGAGAGTAGTGTGAATAGAAGTTTTGTTTTTATAAAAAAAAAAAAAAGATTTTTAGAGATATAAAAAAGTGGAAAATGGTCAGACATATCCCTTAAACCAATTTTTTTCATCTGAAATGTTGCTCAGTACAGCAAGAAAGTTGTAGAGTTGGCAACAGCACTCCTGGTTTTAATAGTAATAATAATAGTGCGCATGCGCTAACGTGTATGCTGTTGCGGTTACTCTTCTCATGGTTTTACTTTTTAAATATTTTAAATATTTTTTCGATTATTTTATTGCACCACTTTAATTATTTTACTTTTGTAAGAAGAGTATCTTCAACAATGTTGACTAAGAAAGTCATAATTTTTTTTTATTCGTTGTTGAGATACTTCTTATACTCTGTAGAATGCAACAACTTGGCCACATTATTTACACCAGGAATCAGCTGATTGCGCGGAAACTTGCCGGCCTGGAGTCCAGATCCACTGAAATCCCCGAGGAGATCTGGAGAAGGACACATCGGGGTTGCAGAGGAGGAAACAAACAGCGGGGGAGAGTAAAAAAGAAGAAACAACAGAGGCTTATGGAGAAGAGTAGCTATAAGGCGTTTCTCCCCTATGTTACCAAGGGCAACGTTAGATCTCAAAAAACATAATTCTCACAGCGCTTGCCGGCTGGTCCAGGTGAGTGTATGCACGGTTCAGCAGGAAGATGATGGCATCCTCAACTCCAAGTTTTGGCTGGTAGGCAAATTGCAAGGGGTCCAAGTCTGGTTGGACCAGGGTCCGGAGCTGTTCCAGGACAAGTCTCTTCAGGGACTTCATGATGTGGGAGGTCAGCGCCACAGGCCTGTAGTCCTTGGAGTCACAGGGACGCTGCGTCTTTGGTACCGGAACAATGCAGGTTGTTTTCCACCTCACAGGAACCCTCTTTTGGCACAGGCTCATGTGAAGACATGCTGGAGGACTCCACAGAGCAGGATAGCACAAGCTTTGAGTACCCTCGGGCTGACACCATCAGGGCCTGCAGCCTTACAAGGGTGAAGTCTCACCAACTGTCTTCTAACATCTTCGGCGGTGATGTTTCCTTTAGAGGTAGAGATGGCTAGCTGAGGGGTGGGGGAATGGTCAGAGTAGAAGAGGAGGGAAAGAGGCATGAAGGTGAGATGAAGGACTCTGAGGAGTGGGAGGGGAGAGTTGTTGGACAGCAGCAGTGGCATTGATAGGAGTGATAGGAGTGTGAGCAGGAGGTGCAGGGGCCACAGTGTCAAATCTGATGAAAAACAGGCTGAGTTCATTGGCTCTGTTAAAATTGCCTTCAACTACTTCACAGCCTGCTGATCTGAACCTGATGAAAGTCCTCGTCCCTCTCCAGACCTTTCGTGTTTTTCTGCTGGAGTTTCCTCTCCAGCTTCCTCTTATAATCTTCCATAGCTCTTCTGATCTTCACCTTCAAGCACCTCTGAATTACTCTCACATCATCCCTGTTGCCATTTCTGAAAGCCCTCTTCTTCTTATTCAGGATGGTCTTGATCTCTTTTGTTACCCAGGGCTTGTTATTTGGGTAACAGTAAACTGTCTCAGTACGGATGGAGTCAACACAGAAGTTGATGTAATGTGTTATGCACATTGATGTCCTCCATATTTGGGTCACAGAGTGCATGTGAGTCAGTGGCCTCAAAACATCTCCGTAGTGTCTCAGTGGCCTCCTTTGACCACCTCCTCACTGTCCTCGTGGTTGCAGGCTGTCTCTTCACCAGAGGTATATAACATGGGCTGAGGTGCACCAGGTTATGATCAGACCGTCCAAGTGGAGGGAAAGGAGAGGAACTGTATGCATCCTTTACTTTAGCATACAGAAAGTCTAGAGTTCTCTCCTCTCTGGTGGGACAGCTCACATACTGGGTGAAGTTGGGCAGGGTTTTGTCCATGTTGACATGATTAAAATCACCCGAGACAACCATCAATGCAGTTGGATGTTCAGTCTGCAAGTGAGCTACAGCGGAGTGAATGATGTCACAGGCCACTGTGGGGTTAGCAGAGAGAGGAATGTAAACAGTCACCATGACAACATGGGAATATTAACGGGGCAGGTAAAATGGACTAAGACCAACCGCCAATAGTTCAATGTTCGGGCAGCAGATTCTCTCCTTTGCTGTTATATGAGCAGGATTGCATCAACGGTTGTTTACTAGAACGACAAGCCCGCCTCCTTTCTGCTTACCGCTCTCAGTGCAATCCCTATCAGCCCGAACAGTCCGGTATCCCTCGATGGTAACATTGGCATCAGGAATGTCCGGGTGCAGCCATGTCTTCGTAAAACACATTAAACTACATTCCCGGTATTCCTTCTGGCTTCTGGACAGTGATGTTAATTCATCCATCTTGTTAGCCATCGATCTCAAGTGCATTCAACACCATCCTTCCTGCTCCACTGGTTGAGAAACTGACGGCGATGCAGGTGGAACCCCCCCTCCCTGTGTCCTGGATTGTGGACTATCTAACTGGCAGACCACAGTTTGTGCGCCTGCGACACTTTGTGTCAGACAGTGTTGTCAGCAACACAGGAGCTCCACAAAGGACTGTCCTCTCTCCCTTCCTCTTCACCCTCTATACATCTGATTTCAGCTATTGCACTGAGATCTGTCATCTCCAGAAGTTCTCAGATGACTCAGCTGTGATTGGTTGTATCAGAGAGGGTGATGAGACTAAGTACAAGGCTGCTGTGGGAAACTTTTTCACATGGTGTGGGCTGAACTACCTGCAGCTCAATGTGACAAAGACCAGGGAACTGGTGGAAGAGGATCAGGACACCGGTGACCCCTGTTACCATCCAGGGGGTCAGTGTGGGCATTGTGGAGAACCATAAATATCTGGGCGTCCACACTGATAAAAAATTGGACTGGGTCAAGAACACTGATGGTGTACAGGAAGGGGTAAAGTTGCCTCTACTTTCTGAGGCAGCTGAGGTCATTCAACATCTCCCATACTGTGCTCATGATGTTTTCTGACTCTGTGGTTGCCAGTGCCATCCTGTATGCTGTGGTGTGCTGGGGCAGCAGGCTGAAGGTGGAGGACACCAACAGACTGAACAAACTGATCCGGAAGGCCAGTAATGTCATTGGAGTGGAGGTGGATACAGGCGCACCTTCAGCCAGAGACTCATTTTGCCAAAGTGCACCACAGAGCACCACACAAAGTCATTTCTGCCTGTTGCCATTAAGCTTTATAATGCCCAAGTCTGTGCTAATTGATTCAAATTTTTTGTCTGCGCTCATTTATAAGTTATTTATTTATTAATATATTGCAAGTGATTGCTTGTTATCCATTTATTTATTTGTTATATCTAGTCATTTTGAATGTATCACTCTTTCATATA